TGTCATGTCAACGTTACCCGTTCTCGGAGACCCTCGTGATAGATCCGGAATGTCGAAGTCCTCGGACTTCCAGGCGCCGAGGTCCGTAGAAGAAACTGCAGCCCCATGAAACCGGTCTTAGAGTTGGAACCGCGCATATGGTGGATTCTTAAGGAGCCTGAACAATATCAGCTTTGTTCTGCAGGAACTGTTGCTTATCAGCTTCGCAGGTGCAAAAAGGTTTTGATGACGTGTCAAAATCTTTGATGGTTAAAGGGGTTTTGCTAAAGATGGCCGGTCTGAAGCTTTCTCTAGAACTGCCGAATTACCCAGAGTGATCAAGTTTTAAGGTTTTGATGTTATGATTTGCACAGCCAATCAAAGGCTGACAGGTTTGAGAAATGTTACCAAGAATCTCAGAACACACCTTCTTTGATACCGGATGTTCTGACTGGGTAACGTAACTTTACTTGTTATGGTGTGAGTGCAAATGTTATGACCTTTGCCATATAAACATGCTGAAACACATTGTAATCATTGTAGACATAACATTCCTTTCGCACTTCAATCATTGAGCACAGATTAATGAAGCATTTCATTATAATATAATTATTATAAGTAGCAATAAACAAATGTTTATTTAATGATTATCTAGGTTATAAGTTCATATTGATTTAGGAAATAGTTCTTGATTTAGCAGCCTAGGTCGCAGGTCGATGATAGACTTTGGAGTTGTATCATCTGACCTGGGGCCGTATGTTTTGGACACCCGAGTGAAGAGAGGAGCGGAGCTGTCAGCTGATCACCACCTAGTGGTGAGTTGGATCAGATGGCAGGGGAAGATACCGCGTAGAGCTGGCAGACCCAATCGCATAGTGAGGGTCTGCTGGGAACACCTGGCAGAAGAACCTGTCAAGACGGTCTTCTACTCCCACCTCCGGCAGAGCTTTGTCCGCTCCCCGAGAGCAGTGGGGGACATTGACTCCGAGTGGGCCTTGTTCCACTCTGCAATTGTTGAGGCGGCTGTTGCTAGCTGTGGTCGCAAGGTGGCCGGTGCCAGTCGTGGTGGCAACCCGCTGATGGACACCAGAGGTTCGGGGAGCCATCAGGCTGAAGAAGGAGGCCTACAGGGCGTACCTGGTCTGTGGGTTTCCGGAGGCAGCAGACCGGTACCGGATAGCCAAGTGGGGTGCAGCAGTGGCAGTTGCCGAGGCAAAATCTCGGGCATGGGAGGAGTTTGGTGAGGCCATGGAGAAAGACTATCGATCGGCTCCAAAGAGGTTCTGGCAAACAGTCCGGCACCTCAGGAGAGGAAGGCATCAACTCGCTCACACTGTTTACAGTTTGGATGGGGAGCTGCTGACATCAACTGGGGCTATAGTCGGACGGTGGAAGGAATACTTTGAGGAGCTCCTCAATCCCACCTATGCGCATTCCGAGGAGGAACTAGAGCCGGGAGACCTGGGGATGGACGGTCTAATCTCGGGGGCAGAAGTTGCTGAGGTAGTCAAACCACTACACAGTGGCGGAGCCATGGGGGCGGATGACATTCGTCCAGGGTATCTCAAGGCTATGGATGTTGTAGGGCTGTCGTGGTTGACACGTCTCTGCAACATTTCGCGGTCATCGGGGGCAGTTCCTAGGGAGTGGCAGACCGGGGTGGTGGTCCCCATCTTTAAGAAGGGTGACCTGAGGGTGTGTTCCAGCTATAGAGGGATCACACTCCTCAGCCTCCCTGGAAAGGTCTACTCCAAGGTACTGGAGAGGAGGGTCCGATCAATATTTGAATCTCAGATTGAGGAGGAGCAATGTGGTTTTCGTCCTGGCCTTGGAACTGTGGACCAACTCTACACCCTTGCAAGGGTGATGGAGGGGGCATGGGAGTTTGTCCAACCAATCCACATGTGTTTTGTGGATTTGGAGAAGGCTTATGACCGTGTCCCCGGGGGCACCCTGTGGGGGAAGTTCCAGGAGTATGGGGTGGGTGGCTTTCTGTTAAGGGCCATTCAGTCCCTTTACCAGAGGAGCGTGAGTTTGGTCTGCATAGCCGGTAGTAAGTCGGACCTGTTCCCAGTGAGGGTTGGACTCCGCCAGGGCTGCCCTTTGTCACCGGTTCTGTTCATCACTTTTATGGACAGAATTTCTAGATGCAGCCGTGGTGTGGAGTGTGTTGAGTTTGGTGGCAGGAGAATCTCGTCTCTGCGTTTTGCGGGATGATGTGGTCCTCCTAGCTTCATCCAGCTATGACCTTCAGCTCTTGCTGGGCAGGTTTACGGCTGAGTGTGAAGGGGCTGGGATGAGGATCAGCACCTCCAAATCTGAGACCATGGTTCTCGACTGGAAAAGGGTGGCTTGCCAACTCCGGGATGGAAGAGAGGTCCTACCTCAAGTGGAGGAGTTTAAGTATCTTGGAGTCTTGTTCACGAGTGAGGGTAGGAGGGATTGGGAGATCAACAGGCGAATTGGTTCGGCGTCTGCAGTGATGCGGACCCTTAGCCGATCTGTCATGGTGAAGAGGGAGCTGAGCCAGAAAGCCAGGCTCTCGATTTACCGGTCGATCTACGTCCCAATCCTCCCCTATGGTCATGAGCCTTGGGTAATGACCGAAAGAACAAGATTGTGGATACAAGTGACCGAAATGAGTTTCCTCTGTAGGGTGGCCGGGCTCAGCCTTAGAGATAGGGTGAGGAGCTCGGACATTCGGGAGGGACTCGGAGTAGAACCGCTGCTCCTCCGGATCGAAAGGAGTCAGTTGAGGTGGTTTGGGCATCTGGTCAGGATGCCTCCTGGACGCCTCCCCGGGGAGGTGTTTCTGACATGTCCTGCCAGCAGGAGGTCCCTGGGTCGACCCAGGACACGTTGGAGAGGTTACATCTCCAATCTGGTCCGGGAACTCGTTGGAGTCCTGCCGGAGGAGCTGGTGGAGAAGGCCAGGGAGAGGACGGTCTGGAGCTCCCTTGTTGAGATGCTGCCCCCGCGACCTGGACCCGGATAAGCGGAGGAAGATGAAGACGACGACGATTTAGCAACTGATCCGAGCTGGAGTGTTCCTTATATGGAGGCATGACCTCAAAGATGGGACCTTGAGGAGAAAATGTATTTTTTGACAATTCGTTATCTGTGTCCAGAACTGCAGGGTCTGAGTTCCAGCTAGGATGGAGGCAGGCTCATTTAAAGGGAACACATGTAGTCTTGTGTCTCCTGTTTGACCAGATGTTGAATAGATGTTGACTGGTCAAACTGTACCTAAAACTGACCATTGCTGGACGTTACAATCCTATACTGTGCCAACCTTTGCTCATAAAGGTTTAAAATAACATGATATATATAAAGAACCTTTAATACATAAAATAATACGTGTAGAACTAATAATGATCCAATTGTGAAGATTCAGAAATTTTTTTTAAGAATAATAATTAAAGCTCCCCATTGTGGGCCAACCAGTAATTTATTCACTGAGTCATTGGAAATATTTTTTTGAGTTAAGACTAACAGTCTCCCCTCATGCATTCAGGATTTGAGAAGAAAAATATAATTTATGAGGGGTGAATATTTTTCAGAAGTTAAGTTGGAACTAATGTCAAATACAGATGTCATTTTTGGAAGTTAAACTTTTGAACAGTCTCAGTGATCAGCTGAAATTGTGTGGATCTTTGTTGTATTTAAAAGTAAATAAATAAATATTACTGGAAGAGAACATATTTAAAAACTAAAAAATAATATGAACATGGGAATGATTAAACATGAATAATTTGTTAAAATTTGTGTTATTTTGTTGTTGCTTTTTGTCTTTTCTTTGATCTTATGATGGATTTGTAAGGTGAGCTGTACGTAGGATAGGCAGTTAGCCTCGGCTTCAGCATAACTTTCTCTTTTCGGTTACAGTGATTGTAAACTCTTTGTTTTGGTGAGATATCACGTATTTAATTTATTTTATTTTATTGTATTTTTTTGTTTGTTTTTATTTTATTACAAGCAACTGAGTGAACTTTAAAATTACCACTTTTTCTTTAAAATCTGTGAAATGTTTCATCCTCTACAAGCTTCTAAATTTGCCACTGCTTCGCTGTGGGAAGTTTACCTCTCATTGTAGTCCTGCTTTTATCCCAGTCCCGGATCGGTTTCCTCACGTGCCTCCTCTTTTAATGACGAGCCTCATTCATGCTGTGTGCTGCTTTCAGACGGTACTTAAACAACTTCTTCCTAAAATCACAATATTACTGATTAGTTGTGTTTATTTATTAATTACTGATTAATGAAAAGTCTTACATGAGGTCTATTTTAAAAGATTTGTGTCTTAATGCAACAGTTTTGAGAATATTAATAGAATTATTTAATTATTTTCTACACAGGAAAAAAAACATTTTCTTACTTCTCCCTGACTATTTGCTCTTAAAATCATCAGAACTCTTAAAATCATCTCACAATAAATTACATTAGGACTTTAAGAGCAACAAGATTCCACGTGCAAAGCTCTGCCTTTAATAATTTCTGGCGTTTTTTGTGATTTTGGCACCATGTGCTGGTGCAGGACACTCTGTGTTAAAGCTAAACAGGAAACAAGCTCGTGAGATGGGTAAAATCTCCCCGGTAGCTCAGCAGAAGCTGGCTGACACTTCAGGGAGGCGTCTGTAACCGAGCCTTCTTTGGTCCTCCATTGTCAGTGAAGAGACCGAACCGGTTATTGAAAGGGTATCAGTGATACAGGTCAAGAGGGTGGAGTACCCCTGGAAGCTCCCTGAACACACACACACATTCTGATGCGTGCAGCCATCCATAAATCCGTGTAAACACACACACATGCAGCAGAAATAGGGAAACCTAGCCCTGGTTACAGAACAGTGAATCATTGTTCTCTAATATTCACCGCAGAGCGATAAACGGAGCGATGCAGCATGGTGGGGAGTTCTGATCATCTCCTTTTGTCCCGATAGCTGATTGATAAATGATATGAAGCCTTTCATTTCCTCCCTCATCAGAAAGCCGCATGTTTAATAATAACTCCGTCTGTTCTCCTGCAGAGTGTCTCCACTGCAGAAGTCAGAGATCGTGGACATGGTGAAGAAACATGTGAAAGCCATAACCCTGGCCATTGGCGACGGGGCCAATGATGTGGGGATGATCCAGACGGCTCACGTTGGAGTGGGAATCAGCGGCAACGAGGGCATGCAGGCCACCAACTCCTCTGACTACTCTATTGCTCAGGTGGGATCGGACGTAGCACAAAATCATTGTTACAGGCTTTAAAAGAACTACCCTGCTGCTGATTACCTTTCACTTGATGCTGATCTTTAACCTCGGAGGAACAATTGACAGAAGGATCGTGTTGTCAGTCCGTTAGAGTTTAAACAAGTAAAAACACTAAATATTCAGCTGGTTCCTGTCCTAGTTATGTTAGGAATTATCTCATTTTGTTCTAAACATAAGAAAATTTTAGTAAAAACAAAAGTGAAGCCCTGTAAAGGTTTTGGTGTCGCTGATATTTGAACCCACAACTAGCTTAAAAGGAAGGTGACAGAGAAGTTTAGCAAAAGTGGCAAAATAAACTTTACAAAATTGGATTTTTAGGAAGTTTTGAATTTATGGGACAGGTTAGAGTGAAACGGAAATATGATGGAGGTCCTAATGAGATTTAATAATCAGTCTGAACTAGAGGTTGTATCAACTAGTCGACTTCACTGCTCTGTAGTGACTTCTTATGCCTTTCATCGACTAGTCGCTGTCACGTGATAATGACCGACAAGATGCAGTTCTCGGAAAAGACTGCAGGTGACGAGCCCCTGCGCGTTTGGAGGCGACGCGCTGTGCCAGAGCGTCGGTATCTGACGCCCGCCGTAAAATGGACATTTGACCGAATTGTGACCTTCTTGCAATTTAACCTTCCCCCCCACCCACATCCTAATCTTAACCAGCTTGCGCATGCAAAGCTCTGATTGTTGACGCGCTCCAGACATCTGCGTCCTGAGCACGGCCACAGTAACATTATCAAATTAGGTGTCGCCACCTCAAAAACAAATTTAACACGCAATCGTTCATGTCGGCTCATTTCCTTTTATGTTTTCTGTCTTTTATTTGTGCCTGATGCGTTTCGCTGCTGTGGATCGGGGCGCATCACCTGTTTTGTCCGGTGATTTCTCTTCACTGGTGCAGCCGGCGCGCACTCCGCTATATTTGTGGTTGGTAGATCTTTTAGAACTGCAGTTCAAAGGTAACTCATGAGGTGAATATATATGAACCCAGGTAGCAGTTTTTCTTTAGGATTGAGAGGAGATGCAGGAAGATAATAAACAGACAGGACAGAAAAATAGTCAAATAAAAACAAGTTAGTTTTTGTACCTGGTGGTTGCAACAAACAGACACCATTGAAGGTAATCAGAAGTGAGAAACAGAAAATGAAATAATTATTTTAATGTTTAGAGCAGCAGGAACTCTGAGAGGCTGCAGGCGCATCAGTGAGTTTGCGGCCGCTGCGCGGGGGGAGGGGGGAGAGGGCTGAAGCAGAAACTACCGTTGTTAAAAGAAATGTGTTTAACTTTGAAAATGTGGGCGCAATTTTAATTGTCAAAAACTCCAGCGAACCAAACCGCTTCAGGTGTATGATGTCATCAACGACTAGTCAAAGTCGGCTCGATTTTCATTACTTGACTGTCGACTTTAAAAAAAATTAAGTCATGCAGCCCCTAGTCTGAACGTTAAATCAAGTAGTCAGACCTCATCATCTCTAAGGAACACAAGGGTTTGTTGATTTGAAATAAAAATAACTTAAAACATTTTTGTGGGGAAACATGAAAAAGTTTTGTTGTAGATTATTTTGAAAACGATAACAAATGAAGTCAAACGACTTGAAGTTTGCTTGTCGTCTGACGGGTTTGTGTTTCTGTCGGCTAGTTCTGCTACCTGGAGAAACTTCTGCTGGTCCACGGGGCGTGGAGCTACAACCGCGTCACAAAGTGCATCCTCTACTGTTTCTATAAGAACGTGGTTCTCTATATAATAGAGGTAAGACACACACACACCCACACCTACACACACCCTCATATCTATCTCACAGTTACAGGAACAGAGACATTTTGCAGCTGTTTGTCGACAAGGCTGACAGTGACAAACGAGGTGCCCTTCTGGTGTCTGCTTTCTGTCTCTTTTACTCACACACACACACACACACACACACACACACACACACACACACACACACACACACACACACACACACACACACACACACACACACACACGCACACACCCACACATATACGTTTACTTGCATATTAAAGTGTGTTTAGATCAGCAGGGAGACCTTAGCCTGTGTTGTTTACTGACACGTTTAGGTAACAAAATCATCTTTAAAACACAAATTGGGAAGTTTTTTTTTTGAATAAATTCAAGCGACGATTTCAGGTTGTGTGGTTGTGTGTGTGCGTGTGCGTATGTGTGTGTGTGTGCGTGCGTGCGTGAGTGAGTGAGAGAGAGAGGGAGAGGGAGATGCCTGAAATGTGGGGCGTTTGTCAGCTGTCCTCACGCTGCTGTCTGAAGTAAAGGATGCCAGCAGGTGCTGGTCCAGTCTGACCACGACTTTGTACATAAAAACGTTTCCATGATTATCTCACATAACTGACTTTCAGCAGAGCCCTCTGGGTCAAAGGTCAAAGACGATCTCTGTTAACCTACTGGAGACAGAAAAGGGGGTGGGGTGAGGAGGTGATGGAGACCTCATCCCAGACTGTAGGCCCCGCTTAGCCCCAGTAAAACCACAACTGCCACCAGTGGCTGACCTGGGATCAGATGTAACAAAGGTTCTCCCTGAGCCTGCTTTAAATGGTTTTGCTAAACAGTTTTTGGACTATGGCAGCTTTTCCATTCAGTCATCCTGACCTGAACCAAGATGAGTGGACATGTAGAAGACAAAAAGACCTGAAAATCTGCTTACAGCAGATGAGCTGAATCTGAAGCTCGCGTCTTAAATAGGTGGAGAATGATCCAGAAAAGTCCCGAGAGAGGAGCTGAGAGATGAGGTCAAGATTTCAGCCTTCTTGGTGTTAAAATGGCGTTTGTGATGGGTCAGTAACAGGCCCTAAAGCTGGTTCATTCATAAGTAGCCTTTCTGTGCCTGAGTGACTCACGGATAACATAAGTAACTTTAAACTAGTAAAACTAGTCAGAAACTGGATGCAGAGAGTGAAAAAGCAGTCAGAGTTGAAAGAAAAACTTAAAAAGAAATCTAAGTCAGAAAATCTCATCTTTTCTTGTGCTGTAGCTCTGGTTTGCCTTCGTGAACGGCTTCTCTGGTCAGATCCTGTTTGAGCGCTGGTGCATCGGCCTCTACAACGTGGTGAGTGCTCTCCTCCTCCTTATCTCCTTTACTCTCCATCTCCTTATGAATCTCACCTACTTAGTCTTCCATCACCGCTCCCTCTGCATGCCAGACGCGTCTGCACATATGTCTCAACGACCGCTAACTCCTGTACGTCTGACCACCGATGCCTTCAGGCTCTCCTCCTTTAAAAAACTCTTTCTTTCAAGTGCAGCCGATCTGATAAGAGCTCCAAGTTAAACAAAAGTGTACGTGTCTCCTCCGTGACCCGCTCTAACTGCAGTGTTTGTGTATTTTCTGTGCTGCAGATTTTTACAGCACTGCCTCCGTTTACTCTGGGGATTTTTGACCGGCCCTGCAGCCAGCAGAACATGCTCCGCTTCCCGCAGCTCTACCGGATCACCCAGAATGCCGAGGGCTTCAACACCCGGGTACCCTCTCTCACACACACACACACACACACATCTGAAATCCCATTCAGTTTTGTCTTCCACACTTAACTCCCAGCTGTTTGGGTTTTGATGAGTGATGCCGGCTGTTTTCGTTTCAGTAAGTAAACAAGGAGCCTGACATGTTTCCATGACAACTCTTAATAAAAATCACAGCCCTAGAATAAGCATGCCTTTCATTCTGGACTGCTCTGTACAGGGTGACTGGTATTTTTTTGGAGGGGCTGCATAGCATGGAGGAAATTGCTTTTATTTTGTATGTTTTTATGTGTTTTGGCAGGTTTGTGCTGACTTGTCTCATTTCTGTGTGTCCTCCAGGTGTTTTGGGGACACTGTATCAATGCACTTATTCATTCAGTTATCCTGTTTTGGTTTCCTCTAAAGATGCTGGAGCATGGTAGGTGATCCAAAGGTTTCCTTCTTTAATACGTTCGTTTTAGCTGGCTTTTGTGTGACCAGGTCGTGTCATCCACAGACTCTCCCTTCAGTAATGGTCAGGGAAACGACTACTTGTTTGCAGGAAATATGGTCTACACTGTAAGTGTGTTTTTACTTGAGCAGATTTAAGCTCCTGATTGAATGTTTTTGTGCTTTTTCTGAGGCTAAAATCGACCTCGTCTAGCCACTCTGTCTCCTCGTTGCACTCATCTCGTCTATTCTTCTCGCTATCTCACTCTGTTGCTATCATTTTACTTTCTCCAGTCTCATGAGAGTGTGTGTGAGTGTGTGTGCGTGCAGACTGGGGAGGTTCTTGTTGGGGTTTGAGGTATTTTAACAGACATTGTTGAGTTTACTGTGCAACGTTAATGTTTATTATCTCCACAGCCGCCAGAGAACTAATCTTGTTTTTTTATTTGCGTTTGTGTGTGTGTGTGTGTGTGTGTGTGTGTGTGTGTGTGTGTGTGTGTGTGTATGCGTGTATGTGTGTGTGTGTGTGTGTGTGTGTGTGTGTGTGTGTGTGTGTGTGTGTGTGTGTGTGTGTGTGTGTGTGTGTGTGTGTGTGTGTGTGTGTGTGTGTGTGTGTGTGTGTGTGTGTGTGTGTACAGTATGTGGTAATTACAGTGTGTCTAAAAGCTGGAATGGAGACCACCGCTTGGACCAGGGTAGGAGCATTAACTCGCTCTTAATAACCAGGCCACTGGTTACTCATGCACTGATAAATAAAACTTTTCTTGTGATGAGTCTAATTTCTTCATGATTGGGCAAAATGTGAACAAGGATGCTCTGATTTTTTAAGCAGAAGTTTGAGGTTTCTCACACGTTTGTCCCCTCACCAGCTGTGATTGGGAATTTTCTAATTGGGATGCAAGAAAATATCGATACACTAAACTGTTGCAGTTTCGAGTTGTCAATATTTAGCCCTCCCACTGTCTTTATGGGTGACCCTGCGAGGAAAGTTGACCACTGAGCAGGATTGATAGTTTATCCCTTGAGGTCCATGTGGCAGGGGTGAGGTGGTGCTCACTCCTCACCCCTGCCACGTGGACCCAAGGGATAAACCATCAACCCTGCTCAATGGTCAACTTTCCTCGTGGGTTCACCCATTAGGACAGTGGGAGGGTTAAAAGACGTTTATCCATTTTTTTAATTAAGAATTTAAATGCAGACATTTACTGTATTGCTGTGTTTGGTGCAGTTCAAATTCTGACTGCCAGGGGGCAGCATCTTTTAGAGCCCTCATCTTGACACACTGGTCTTGCAAGCAAACCCTAAAAGATGCTATTAAATTATGAGCCGTTTACCAGTGAAAATTGCAAATATCTTCTGGTTTTTAGTATCACAATATACCGTAACATCTCCCCTTTACTGCGATATGTATCATAAAGTGTGACAAATTCTCAGCTGGATGGATCATGGCTGCTCGGAAAGCAGAAGACAACATCTGTTGGATTGTTATTAAACACAAAAACATCAGAGCGGAACGGACCGAGTTAAACTAACTCAGAGCCCAGATGTTCTTAGTCATTCTTAGACAATTCAAGTCATGAGAAACGTTTTCAACTCCGCTGTGTGGTTTTAGGGAAATGATAAAGTAGACAACTAATAATTAATAGAATTATTTTATTAATCCCTCAGTTACATTCGTCAGATAAAACTGCCGAATCTACACCAGAGACTAGAAGTCGACCCGTATGGGTTCTCTTGAGTCAGGGCTGCAGATAACTGATACACAGTGGTGATTATCTTAATTTTAAACTTCTTTTAAAGAAATTAATGCTTGAAATGCTTTTAATAGAAAATACTTCTTGCTTAAAAGGGCTAAAGCTAGTTTTAAAAGCTGCTGAATGGAAACCTTGAACCCTGAGAGGAGAAAAACCAACAGGAGAAAATAACTTCAGGGTAATCTAATCAGATAATTAACAAACCGAACGAAACATCTGACCAAACATGTGGTTTCAGCTTTCAGCCCTGAAGTCGTTTCAGCTTCGTCCGCCACAGTTTCCTCCCGCCGTAGGAGAGGCGGGGAGCGGCAGCACAGACAGATAGGCGCTGACACCTTTGTCCGTTCAGCTGTCCACACAACAGTCTGGTAGTAATGAAGTAATGTCCCAGTGGAATTCACACAGTGTCCCCTTACAGCACATCACAGAGTGGGACGGAGACGGGGCCAAGAGAAGGGTGGGGGGGGGGGTTGGTAGGCTGTATCCGGATGAGCTGGGTGTCTATTATTTGACCTGGTGTCTCTCTTCTGTTGTAGTTTTCCCACCTGGCTGTTTGGGGGAGCATGGCGCTCTGGATGGTCTTCTTTGCCGTCTACTCCTACATCTGGCCCACCATCCCCATTGCCCCCGACATGCGGGGCCAGGCAAGTTGCTTCCTCTATACTCATCGTTCATCTCCAGAACAGCAACTGATTGGAGCCGATGTGTTAGACCCTCCCTCCTAATGTCTTTTGTTTTTCCGTGGTGTCATAAGTGTTGGTGGCGTCCGCGAGGCTCTCCTCTTGGGTGTTCTATGGTGGTGGGGGACGAGGGCCCTTCTCAGCAGGTGGCCCTGCACCTGCTGCATGTCACCCAAACCCCCACGGTCTTTTACTGCCCTCTGTGGAGGTGTTGCCTCGAGGGTGGGCTGCCTGAGGAGAGTATTTGTAAGATCTATTAATTGCGAGTGTTTGGGGCCAAAGCTTGGGGAGAGGGATGGGGTGCCCCATCGAGTGGGTAAGAGAAGGACTCAAGCTGTCTCACTCCACCTCCCCCTCCACCCCCCTTTAGCCCATTATTTCAATTTGTGTCAGAAATCAGGAATGCGGTCAAATATCTCTGCAGCTGCCCTCCAACCCTCTGTTATCCCCCCCCCCCCCCCCCCCCCCCCCCCCCCGAACTACCCTGTTGCCTCTCTTATGTCCACCACCCCCTGCTATCTATACGTCCATCTGTTCATCAGTGGACACAAGATGGAAAATTCTTCTCAAATGAGCCGTCTTAGAGGAGAAGCACTCCCTGCCATGGTCCTTTTGTCACCCCATGACCCACCACGTTTCCAGTGCTACAAGCATGAACCGTGTGACTCCATATGTGGGTGTTTTATCACAGTAAATTTTGCTGAATTTATCGGACTTATTCTCTTCTGGGAAATTAAACCCTCTTCCCAGGAAGCACATGTCTCTGCAGCTGGAAATATCCTAAAGACATTTTGAAGGGAGTTGCTGACAAAAATTTAACATTAAAATGGTCCATACATCCATTTTTGTCCGTTTATGTAGGGTCGGGTCAAGGGGGCAGCAGCCTAAACCGAAAGACCCAGACTTCCCTCTTCCCAGCCTTTTGGGCCAGCTCCTTCAAGGGAATCCTAAGGCGTTCCCTGGCCAGCCGAGAAACATAGTCCCCCCAGCGTGTCCTGGGTCTTCCTTTAGGTCTCCTCCCTGTTGGACGTGCCCGGAAAACCTCACCAGGGAGACGTCCAGGAGGCATCCTAACCAGATGTCCAAGCCACCTCAACTGGCTCCTCTCGATGTGGGAGAGCAGCGGATCTGCTCAGAGCCCCTCCCAGATGACTGAGCTTCTCAACTCATCTCTAAGGCAGAGCCCAGACACCCTGCGGAGAAAACTCATTTTGGCCGCTTGTATCCGCGATCTCGTTCTTCGGCCACTGCTCAAAGCTCGTGACCATAGGTGAGGGTAGGAGCGTAGATCAGCCGGTAAATCAGGAGCTTCACCTTCCAGCCCAGCTCTCTCTTCACCACGACAGACCGGTACATCACCTATCAATCTCGCTCTCCATCTTTCCCTCACTCGTGAACATGATCCCGAGATACTTGAACCTCTTCACTTGAGGCAGGACCTCGTCCATGACCGGAGAAGTTATTCCCCCCATTAAAATGGTCTTAAATTGGAATACAGAATTTAAAAAAATAAAAAAACAGGACAATATTAATATGTATTAGTACCCCTAAAGCAGCTATCTGGAATTTTCTCTCCTTCAGGAATTATTAATGATTTTAGACATCTGTAAAAGTGATAGTCTTACTCCTTTCTGTGGTTTAATGTAGACAATTTGTTGTTTTTCTCCTCGTCCCGTAGAACCCCATGGAATCTGAATTGAGCACTGCTCAGCATTAGCCAATAGCGTTAGACATCTGCTTACGTACAGATGTCAATCACAGAGTGTGTGAGCGCTTGCAGAAGTAATAAGACTGATGCAGAGGTGGCGACATTTCTTATGGAAAAGTAAGAATGTGTATTTTAGCCCTGCTGGCCGGCTAGAGGTGAGAGGTGTTGCTTCCAGCCGTAATCACGGAAGTAGTTAGAACGGCTTAAGGTGCAATACATTTTTCCACCTCTAGATGGTGCCTTCTGAGAAAAAATTCCAGATCGCTGTTCTAATAAAATGTTTGATTCTAAAACATTCATACTTGAGATAAGTTTAGGTATGTGAAAGTCCACAGAGCCCTTGCAGAAATTGTGAAACTTGAGGAGGACAAAACACGGGATCGACGGCAGCAGCAGGTAAGGACAAGCAGCAGACTCAACAGCCACTGACGATGAAAGAAGGCTGTGAAAGAGGCAGAGTGACGGGAATCTCAGGAGAAAGATGTGTGGGAGGAAGAGACAGACGGATCAACCGAGACAGCGGTTGGATGCATGATTAATCTCAGGAGACGGGCCGAGTGCAGGGTCAAAGGTCAACGAGGCGCGGGAGGATCTCTGGTTACTCCCTGACGTTTTTATCATGCAGCTTTATGGAAACACTGTTTGAGCCACAGGGAGACGGTGTTAAAGACATGTTGTGATGTAAAAACAAGCTGTGAAATATGTTTGGAAGACCGAAGGGCTCTGCTGCAGCTCGAGTCGCTAGCAGCGTGTGCTCAGTGCTGAGAAAAATGACTGGATTTGAATTAATATGCGAGTGAAAACAGACGCCTGTGTGTTGTCATTGCAGGCTGACAGGGTGATGCAGTGCTGGCACTTCTGGTTGGGTCTGGTTCTGGTGCCCACCGCGTGTTTACTCAAAGATTTCGCTTGGACGGCGTAAGTAGAGCACACTTGATATAAATACATTCAAAGCCAATACGGAGACTGTTTAACTTAAGCCGAGCATTTACATAACTCATTTTGAGTCTATGTCAACACTTATACACTTTATATTATGAGCTGCATGTGTGAAGCACTCAGACTTTCCGTCACGGCTCTGATGAGCTTGTTTCTGCTCTGCAGCACACGCCGCTCCGTCAGGAAGTCTCTGCTGGAGGAGGTGCAGGAGCTGGAGGCGCGGGCCGTTGACCCGGGAGCTACCGTGCTCAGGGACTCCAGCGGTCGCAGGTGCAGTGTTAAAAGGGAAAAATCTGTTTGTATTAATTTTCACAAACATCATCAGTGATTGGATTTTTCTCTTTTTGTTGCAAAGCAAGGCCGCTTTATTTCTATCGCACATTTCATACACAGAGGCAATTCAGTGTGCTTTCCATTAGTAAGAATAGCACGATTATTACAGTAATGTGACAGCACAATTAAAATACACAAATTAGTTTCACATTAAGGAATAAAAAAAAGACAGATTTAAAGGGTGAGAAGTTACAGTGCAGAAGGTGCAGCATAAGAAACTGTCATTCAAAGGCTGAGGAATACTTGAAGGTTTTCAATTTTGATGTAGAAGTTTGTAGAGTTCAGACACATTTGAGGTCATAAGGAAGCTGATTCCATCTGTGTGCAGCATGGTAGCTAAAGGCATGGTTCTGACCCGGGGTATACCAGCTGGCTGCTTCCTAAGGATCTCAGAGCCCTGCTGGGCGTACATACCAGATGGATAGCCAACATGTATTCTGTCCCCATGCCACTGAGTGATTTATAAACTAGTAGAAGCACTTTGAAATAGATTCTGTAGTTTACTGCTAACCAGTGTAGAGATTTAAGAACAGGAGTGATGTGCTCGGTTCCCTTGGTTCTCACAGCATGCCCTATAGGTTATAAATTGTAAGTCACTTTGGATAAAAGCGTCTGCCAAATAAATAAACATGAAATGTTTATGTTTATGTATTTAGCAGACACTTTTGTCCAAAGCGACTTACAAGTGATAATCTGCATGTTGCCCTTGAGGCTAACAACAATAACAACAACTTGACATTAATCATGGAGAAATAAACATTCTTATTAAGACTCTAGCAGCAGCATTTCATTGCTCTTTTATTTTTATTTTTACTTATTTCCGTGCTGAATCTGATTTATAATTTAAGAATTTTTTTTAAATCGTTAGAATTTTATAGGTGTTTTAATTGAAATTTAAAGTCTGTTTTTTCTGACTTTATTGAATATTCGAGTATATTAAGAAAAAAAAATCCATTCACTTCAGATTATTTCTATAGCGCCAATTCACAACAAAAGTCGTCCCAAAGGCACTTCACAAGGTAAACTGAACCTACTTAGTAGTGCTGTGAGTTCAGTTCATTATGCTAATTAGCTCAAAGTTTCCTACCGTATTTTCTGGACTATAAGTCGCTCCGGAGTACAAGTCGCACCAGCCATAAAATGTATAATAAAGATGAAGAAAAACTCATATATAAGTCGCATTTTGGGGGGAAATTAAATAATTTTTCTTACAAAATCTAAAACCAAGCGTTTCACACTGCAAGACAAGTACCGGTAACTAACAGAATAAACAACCAGCTGCTGCATCAGCGGTATGCACAGCAGCACGCCACGGTTTCCAGCAGAGAATGGCGGTGTTTCAAACCCTCCCAGCGGGCGGGGAGAGCTCATTCCTGGGCCGGAGCCGGCCCGCAGCAGCGCGATATAGCCTGCATACTTTGGTATGTAAGTCGCAGGATCAGCCAGACTATGAAAAAAACGTGCTACTTATAGTCCAGAAAATACGGTACATAAGGAACCTAGCAGATTGCATCAAGTCACTGACTTGTGTCAGAAACTTTACCCCATACTAATGGGCCATTCCCATCTGTACCGGGTCGGCCCGGGCCGGGTAGCGTAGGTTGTTTACACATCTGGGTGGCCTGGTATTTTTCCGGGCCAACCAAGGCTCATTCTCAGCCCTCTTCTCGAGGGGGTCTGCTTCAGGCCGACCAGGGCCAGCACACCCACTGCTGACAGCAAATTCACACCTTCCATTAGAGCAAGCCTCTGATTGGTGGGTAGAATCAGCCCACATGGGCTTAAGACAAGGATGTGTGGAATCAACCGGGCCAGGCTGGGGCCGACTGGGGCTACCCGGCCCGGGCCGTCCCGGTACAGATGGGAATGGCCCATTAGCAAGCATGTAGCACAGGATGTGTGTCAGAAAGTGTAACCAGTAATGCCTTCTTTGTATTTACGTTTATTTACATATAAAACTGAACCGTCTGTGTCCCGTGTGGCGCCGTACGCAGAGCTGAAGCCAAGGCAGAGGTCCCGTAGACCCAGAACCGCTCCACAGAGGTAGTTTCTGGGTTTGCACTGTCCCTCTGCGTGACCCGTAGCCCAAATTCAAACTACCTCTGAGTGAAATCTGCATGGTTTTAATGAACTGGCTTCACATTTCTTTCTGTTTCTCTCTCTTGGTTGAAAATCACAACATTTTATTCCATATTGTCCTAAAAGTTGCCTTTCCTCTGGGTTTATTTTTTATATTTTATTTTTTCTAGGTGGACCAGTTTGAAGTGCTGTACAGACCTGGTGTGTTTGCTGTTTAGCTGTAGCTCAGAGCGTGCCTTAGCTTTGTGTGTGTGTGTGTGTGTGTGTGTGTGTGTGTGTGTGTGTGTGTGTGTGTGTGTGTGTGTGTGTGTGTGTGTGTGTGTGTGTGTGTGTGTGTGTGTGTGTTGTGTTAGAATTAAATCAAAAAGTTACTCATTTACGCACCGCTGATTATTTTTATAGCTTTGTAGCTAAAATACACGAAGACACTTAGAAACCAAATGAATGAACCATTAGATTAACATTATAGATAATAAATGAATGAGACCCACGTGCTGATGGGGAGATGTTTAAACCAGCAGAAGCAGATCTCTGTTTCTTCTATGATTCAAATCTGAGACGGAGATTAAAGGTGTGCAGTGGAGCGCTGGAGTGAAGTGCAAAGAGAGCACATCTGTGTTTGCACTTCCTAAGGAGGTCTCGGAGTGGGCATGGGAATGGATGGAAAGGTACAGTGAAGGATTCTCTCAGGGGAGGAGTTCAGATCGGAGCACGTCCTTGAGTCAGCAGGTATCCAGGAAGAAACCTCTGAGTTATACCCATGCACAGCAGACGTCATTTCTCAGGGCCAAAGACTTTTGAGCAAACTTTTTCTCTCATTTTTATAAACTCAATGGAAGGTTTTCAAAATATTTTTTCTTTCAACTTGTCCGGAGTTTCAGCCTCGGGCCTGCTGGCTTCAATCTGATCATCCCGAACGCAGAACACTAAATCAATATTCTGTCAGATAAACTTAAGATTTATCATCCTGCCGTGGCGGTCGGTGTCCTTACCTTTTACATCCCGCTGTGTCACGGCAGCAGTGATGCTGATGAGACAGGAGAGAAATTCATGATTGTGTGTGTAGCATGTGGTCAGGAGGATGGGAGCCATGACGGTGTGTGGTCTCAGAACAGAGGGTCCACTCTTCGTCCTGGATGAGGAGGGTTATGAGGCCAGGAGAGAGTGGTGAAGTGGGGGCTTTAGGAGGGATGTTAAAGATGTTTACTCTAAATAAAAACCGTAGCTTGTAATCGTGCTGTGAGCTGTAGATGTTCTCTTCTCGGGGAGTAACCATCCCTTCCTTCTTTGTTTCAGTCTAAACGAACGGGCCCATCTGCTGACAAGAGTCTTTAGGAAAACACCCTCAAGCGTCGGACGCTCCAACTCGGTGCAGCAGACTGTGACACGTGAGTGTCCTCTATGAAGACAGCCGCCTTGTCATCATCCAAACCTCGATTCAACGCAGATATTAAAGATGCATTTCAAAGGGGATATTTTTCATCTTTTTGTTGATGATAATAAAATGTACTTTTTTAAAAGCTGTGAGTTAAAATCCAGGAGTTTCTTTCTCTGTTTTGATATAATGAAAACACTTTTAGCTGAGCTATTCTGTTAAGATGTAGAAGAAGAAATGAAAACAGAACTTAAAGGTGCAATATGTAAGAATTTTACAGTGAAATAATCAAGTCTTAACGTTGATCATGTTGGAAGGAAGGTTACATTGAAACATATTTTATTCTCGTCAGTGTTCCTTCTGTAAAGAGGCCGAAGAGGGACCTAGGCACAGTTCCAATACTTGAACTGCACCCATACGTTCCTCAGAGAAGTACGCTAAGTAAAGCTTCGCGTGCATAGTGCACAAGTGTGCAAATAATTGCCAAATTAGGACAGTGAGCATTGCATCGTCGACCGCAACTCGCATCGGGATGCCAGTCGCTGTTTGTTTCTTCTTTAAAATTTTTATTAGCAGCTTTCAAACAATTATTTGACAACATTGGCATTCATTGCTGTCCACATTAAGTCTTAGTCAGTGCGAATCAAGGTTGCAAAGGGGGTGTGGCCAAAGTTTGTACCCCTGGTTGGGAACGGGCAATTGAAGGACGCAAGTGCGGAAGTGCAAGTATTGGGACAGGATAGTAGTTGTGTTTACACTCTCACGCCTCCATACTTCCTGGTTCCAGGGCCAATCATATGTGAGCCTATGGGGTTGCCAAGTCTGCCTGCATTTTTAATTCAACACCAACCGGCAAGAAGCAGCAGCACTGTGGAAAGCATGTTAGCCTGTAACAGAAGCAGCCCAAAAGTTTTTTCTTTTACCCCAAAGAAGCCACGACATCCTTTAGTTTTACTCTAATATCTGGTAAAGTAGGCTAGAGGCTAATGTTGAGCTAACTGTGCTAATGGTGCTACTAACTGTGAATGACTCGTTGACGGTTGCTCAGAGCGGTCTCCTTTATTTTGAAACGGGCTGCAGTACCCAGATTTGACCACAGGATGTTATTCTTCATGAAGCTTTAAGCTTTCAACACTTCTTTAACATCTTTCATCCAAAATAAGATTTACAACCATTGCTGCACTAAAATTTACCTGAAAAATCAGAAAAAATATACAATTTTGTTGCAAGAAAAGAAATTAATATTTGGAGAAAAATCTTCCACTTGTTTACTGAAAGCATGGCATTCTATTCCAGTGTTTTATAGTGGTCTCATTTTGCATTTCTGCAGATGGCTATGCCTTCTCTCAGGAGGAACACGGCGTGGTGTCCCAGTCCCAGGTCGTTCGCTCCTACGACACCACCCGCCAGCGCCCCAGCCTCTAGCCCCTCCCCCCCAATCAAGGCTTTGGCTCTATGTAGCAAATCGTCAAGGTGACAGCGGAGTTGAACCTAAGCAACACCTTGACGCCAGTTGACCGACCTCTGCTGTGGCCTTAATGGAACAACGACTCGACCCCTCGCCAGGGATGGGAGTGGCGGTCCAGATGGAGGGAGGGGTGGAAGTTGAGTCAGGCGTTCGGAGGACCGGACTGAGACGGGACCAGAACAAACACTGACAACCACAAACGGCTGCACGGGCATGAGCAAATCAGTCACGCCAAGTCAAACTCAGAACTGCTACCTGTATGCACCTCAGACTGGGTTTGCTTCACGCTGCTGTGTTTCCATGTGCGTGTGTATGTGCGTGCACGCGCGCCGGTGCATGTGTGCTGTTTGTGTGCGTGTGTCTGTTTCCACGGTTACCTCACATCCCCGCTGTCATCACACGATGCAGAAGAGGTCAAAATAATCAGCGTTGCATCCAGAAAAGGGTGAGAGGGGATGTTTTTTTTTTCTCCATCGCAGCTCCCAAGCTTCACTGCCAATCACCACGGCGATGCCAACGAGGCGGAGCGCTGACACCCAACCAGACCACCACCCAGCTGCAGCCCCACTCCTCCTCCAGTTTATCTCACATTTCTTCCTCCTTATCTCTGCATCTCATAGCAGCTCTGCAGCCTCCATGTCCGCAGCTCCTTCATCAGTTTTAGTCTTCTTCCTTTTCAGGATTCTCCAGACGTCCCAACTCTAGCATTTGTTAGCTGACCCAGAAGCGGTACGTCTTGGTTGCTCTTAACTGAACATGTCTGTCCCTATTGTCTTATTTTATTAAAGTGGACATTATTGTATTTGCATTTATATATTTTTATTTTAATGTTTTGTTTTGTTTTTTACTTTACATGCATATGAGAAAACTTTAGCCCTTTGATTGAGATGCTTGCATGGATCATGTGTTTCTCAGCTTGATGTGAATGTGGAGCCTGTTGTCTGTGTGCTACGTGTTGAGGACACTTTGGTTCAGGAATGCAAGCGCAAATAGAAGGTCTATCCAAGTCCTAATCATTAAATCTAATCAATCCATGGCCTGACCCAGCGTCTCTGTGTTCACCGAGCACCCATGCAGTCCATTAGGAGGGGTTTTATCTGAATTGTTGCACCAGAGTAGCTGCAGACTTAAAAAATCATGCTGACAATTGAAAAGGGAAAAGATTAGCGTGTTTTACGATCTTTTTACGTTATTTAGGCGATTAATCCCCTCTCTAGATTTCTTTCCCACCCACCTTCCTGGACGTGGTCCAGCTCAGATGGGTCTACAGCGGCTGCAGGATGGAGAATCCATCAGGTTGTTTTTAGGTTCTGTCTAAATGCGAGCAAGCCAACGCTTCCCCCTTCACCCTGTCAAAGTTTAAAACTGTCTGCTTTGTTTATTTCGTGTCTGTGTGTTGGATAATTTCCTCTGTGGGAGTCTGAGCGTTTAAAAGGGATTCAGAGGAGCCATTCACCACATGGTTTACCAAACCAGATTTTTTTAATGCAAAAATCACAAAAAATAGGGGTAAAAAGTTTGTTTTAAAATGTGTTTAATTTTGAAATCCATATGAAAAACACCTCCCAGCATTGTTGTGTACTGTTTCAAAGGGAGCAAATCCAAAAAACACTCACAGTTTGATAGATTTGTGTCACAAAAGCTGCCTGCTTGCCTCTTAGACATTTGAGAGAATGATTCATTCATTTTTGCAGATTCGTAACCGATAACTGACGCTTTTTGTGCCTTTCTCAAGTGGAGAACTGACTCGGACCTGCCCTGGGGCTGAAGCGTTGATCTGTGTGGATTACACACACACATACATAAACAGACTGGACTCACAGGAGAGAAGTGATGGGATAGCCTGGCAGAGACCTTCCCTCCAACACTTTCAGGGAACATTGACCTCCATCCTTGCGTGAAGATTGTCATATTTTGAGCGTTTTCTTCTCGAGTCAGGTTTTTTTCATCTCTAGGTGGCGGGAGGGGAGCTGTATAGTTAGCTGGGGCGTCACAGTCTGCGTCCTTTATTCACTTCATTAGAGTTTAAATGGCCTTCTGGGAGATTGCAACAGCCTTTCACATCACACCACCTGCGTTTCCCATTACAGTCAAGCTCACACACACACACACTCATTTACAGTACATCCATCCACACGCACACTCTGGCTTCACGCTTTCAACACAAACAGAAGTATACCATGTTGTACAGGCAGCTCACGGCCGCTCACAAGCGCAGATGTGCACATAAACGCAGCATGTGGTCATTTTCTTTCTGCTCCAATATCCATAAATCATCCTCTCATCGCTTGTTCAGTGCAAACCTTCAGTTTTCTGTTTGCGTCCACTGCTGAGATGAGCTCTGAGGTCATAAGAAGCCCTAAACACTCAGAGACTTTGGCCGTGTGCCCAAAAGTCTCCTCTGCATCCCTGCAAGGTTTAACTTCACAAGTCAGGAGTTTGTAACAGAGTGAAAGGCGGGTTGTGCAGAGCTGCCCCCGCATCAGACCGTCACTGGAGGGAACTTCTGGTCACTGGTGATGCTGGACCCACCAGTGGGAGGAGGACAGGGGGACTGGAGGGGCCTGTAGCCCCCCTGGCTCGGGTCTATAAAAGCTGCGGGGACAGGATGGGCATAGCCGATGTACTGCTGGTGCATGAACGGCCCCTGATGGGGCATGATCTGTGTGGCCTGCTGGCAGTTAAGAACAGAGAAGTTAGTGGGCATGTTGACAAAGACGCTGGCGTCCGGCGGAAGGCAGCAGGAGGCCTGGGCCCGCATGAGAGGGGCGGGAGCCACGGGCGGGACAGTGCGGGGGGCAGCAGGCGGAGCCGAGGAGCTGGACGAAGTGGCCGTGCTGGACTGTCGGGACGAGGAGCCCCTGGAGGTGTTGGCCATCATGGGGATGGTTTCTAGAAGGCGTCCGCTGGGGGCCCCGCCCCCCGTGGCCCCTGATGAAGACAGCTCCTGCTTCGGCCGGAGGCAGCGGCAGCAGCACACGGCTACCAGAGAACCCACGACCACAAAAGCCACGAAGACGGAACCCACGACCAGGAAGGGCACGTAGATGGGCACTGGGAGCAGAAACAAGAGCAGAGATAAATGAGATGTTCACAGGAGGTCTCAGACCCTCATTAGCAGTTATAACAAAGTTCTGATCTGGTTTTAATCCTCCACACCCCACTGAGCCCCCAGCCTCCTCTTGGAGCGGGGGACATTCTTAAACCCGGCTTCCTGTGGACGTTTGTATCCCTTTTACCTTCAGCTCTTAATGACTAAGCCTTTGAAATAAGTTACTGTAGTTGAACTTGGCACCAGCTTAAAGGGAAATCGGGCTGATTTAATGGAGGGGTATTTTTTTTTTGTTCTTTTTGTTTAAAACTTCTGCAGCTCCACCAATCCGAGCGCGAGTCACCCGGGTCAGGCCACAGAGTTGTTATTGAACACGTAAAGATTTGACGTTTTTACATGCCAAGGCCCCAGATCCAGAGTGTTAATGTGTGAAGCGAGCAGGAGGACGACTTTGAAACTTGATCAACAATAACTTTCCTCTCCAAGTTCTCCTAGTTGTGACTTTTGGCAAAAAAGAAGAAAAAACGGGGGGAATTGAGCTCAAAGGACATTTAGGATGAGGTCATTGATGAGGTGTTTCCCCCGCCTCCGCCCATTCATTCATTCCCAGCCTCACCAACACCTTCCAAACACAATAATGTCACAAGTGATTAGTTTAGCGTTATTGTTCCCACAGGGTGATGTTAGTTCTCCATCTGAATGTTCCCATGTTGCCATGAGGTGTAACCGTATGCCAGGGAGTAAGAGGTGGCGGTCGACTCCGGTTTCCTTTTGTTTCTGGGCTCTTTTGAAATGCATCCATATGACTTTTTCCCAAAAAGCCAATCAAAACTTTCAATGTATTAAAAGTATTTAACACTTGTTAAACGTCTTTGTCAGAGGACGTTGACCCTGGCTTGTCTTCCAGTCAGATGAAAATGTCCCTGGGAGTCTTTAATGTCCTCAAATTCCACATTTCTGCCTCAGCTCTAGAGATTTATGTGAAAACTACTGTAAAGAAATGTTTGCACGACTATTAGTTTGTTTGTTTTTGTGCATAAATGTTAAATCCCTTCCAGAAGTGCTTGCAAATAACCATACAGTTCTATGAGTCATGGGAAACTGACACCATCATAGCTGTCATTCACAAGTTGTTTCAAGACATTTGCGGTGGTCTCTAGTATGAATGAATGCCTTGTGAGTCATTCTCTGTGGAAAAAAAGCTCTGGCGCTTATGTTTCCGGAAGTAGAAGTTAGCAGGATTTGGAGTCTCATTTCCTGACATTTGGACGTCTCTCATCTGATTGGCTAAAAGCAATGTAACTCTTCCACTGCCTCCACTCACTCTGCAACCTTGATGTTTAGTATCCACAAATAACACAAGCCTGAAGGAGTTCTGCCATGTGTTGGAGTTGCTAATGCTAATGTTCGCTTCTGCTAGCTGAGACACGCTCTGCTCTTTCCTGGATGCTAAATCAAAAACAGCCTTCCCTGTTGCGAGCCAAGATGGGTGAGTCAATGAATGCTAATTTTCAGTGTGACCTAAATCTGAGTGGCTTTTCTAATCCGAGCATTTTCCAGCCGCCTACTTTTGGCGGCTAAGACAGGAAGTAGAGGTCCTCCCCCGTGAAACGCAGAGTGACAGACTAACAAGTAATAAAACTGTCTTTTGGTAAACCTCCTCTTTACGTTTTTACATTCCTGCCCTGCATTGTTTCTGACTAGCTGTTAGCATATCAATTTGATTTGATTAATCTCTTTTTCTCCAAACTCAGGTCATTCAATCTGCCAAAAGCACCAACTATTGGAACCATTTTTATGAGTAAAAGTTTAAAATGGCACTAACGTTTTAAATTTAGCTCATAAATGGTAACAAACATGCTCGGCAGTCCTGCTGAATGCTCCTGGTGCAGCAACTTCAAAAGGAGCCTGCCTGTTTGAACCCAGGTTATTGTGTAACTAAAGGATGGCTTTAGTCTTGAAGGTCGGGGGATGATTAATGGACCGGAGAAGAACAAACGGGGATAAAAGCATGAAGGTAAGCATGTCTACCTTGGAAACATGTTTTTAAAACTTTGATTAATTTCATTTGTGCACCTTATTCTGCATTAAATAACAGTTCAGTTTAATTCTAAGGGTAAAATTCAAAACATGCTTGTTATTATATCAATAAATGTGTTCTTTATTTCCTCATTAGGTAAAAAATGAGCACAAAACTGATCTCTTTTTTTGTGCACATGGCAGTGGAAGTCCTATTATTATTTCCTGTCACTCTTCCACACCTGTTGCTGCAGCAGCGCCACCCCCTCCTCTCTAAGCTCTTGTTTTGGGTTGAGTCTTTGTGGCTGGACTCCATCGGCTGTCCCACGGGGATTCTCCTGTTCCCAAATACCACATGCTCCCTCATGTCGAGCACATTAATAGCTTCCTGCCTCGTTTCTGTGTATCGTTCTGAAATGATGGATGGGCTGCAAGGGCATGAAAAATGTACAAAATGCACAAGTTGGTTTCACGTTTAAACACTTCCTCTGCTGTTGGTGAGAGAAAAGCTGCAGCTTGGGGTAAATGTTGGCTGGAGGCCACTGGGTGGAATGTATATATCCCTTCCTGTGGTGATAAGGTGTGATGGCAACAAATGACAGATTATTGCATTGTGGCTGCAGAAAAAACATGAAACAAGCCATTGTCATGTCAAATATTTGCTTCGTTTTTTTTTTTTTTTTTTTTTTTTTGTTAAAAGAACATATGATACAGCTTCAAATGCTTCATGGAAGATTGAGAAAGTTTGAGGGGCCAAACTGGAGGAGGGGAGGGATGTGTTGTCAACTGATCCACGACACAAGCAGAAAAATGCAGGTTTTTGAGAATTATGTAATCTTTGTGACTCTGATAGAGCCCACAGACACCAGAGCTGCTCATTTAAGAGCTGGACTGTCAGCGCCAGGAGTGCTCCCAACAAGATCCGGTCAAGTCCAAATTTGATCCCCGTGGGGCCAGCATGCATGGCTCTCTCCGTTTTGCACTGTTACAGAACAAACACAGCTATTTATAAAGCGCAGCAGCGGCGTGGCACAATTTGCCATTTGTGAGTGGGGCTAAGTGGACTTTAGGAGCCTCCTGGCTCCTGAGCAGCTGTCGTTGCCAAGGGGGGAGGCGAGCAGCAGATGAACCCTTTGACAGTGAGACACAATCCCAAAGAAGACAGAAAACAGCATCATAACTTGAAGCTTATGGAAAAAACTTAACATTTAGGGTTACGTTTGATTCTAAGTTGGGTGCTTTTTACGCACGGTGTTTGGAAGTTTTTTAATCATTCATAACTTAATAAATCATCAGTGGAGGTTATGGGGGCTCTACCTGCTCGAGAGTCCTTGTCTGTGCTCTCTGCCCCGGTCTCCTGCGGCTGCCGGTCGTTCTCACAGCTCCCCTGATCCAGCCGCGCGTCCGCGCTGGCGCAGCAGTAGCGCAGCTCGCATTTCCCGCAGCAGATGATCGCGTCCTCCGCGTCGATCTTCTCCGGACACTGGAATCCTTCCTTCCAGGCGCCCTGAGAGTCCTGCCAGCCGTGGCAAAACTCCCCGCTGGCCTTCACGTCAATAAGGAGCAGAGTCAGAACCACGGTGGCTCCCCACATTCTGGGCCAGGTAGCCGCGGCGCGCTGGAGCATTTCCCCGCGCCGAATCCGGCAAGGTTAGAGGTGATTTTTTAGGCTGGTTCGGTAAAAGGGCTTTTGGGGATGAAGCGAGAAAGCAGTAGATCTCTCAGAGGTAGTCATTTGTTAGAGAATTCCTGTGCTAAATCAGATGCGAAGTTTCCAAAAGGGTAAAGCGCGAGCGTAACCGATATTCCAGCTGTTATCCAAAGCTCTGGTGAATCCAAACACTAACGGGATTCCCGCGGCACCGCAGCGCGGCTGCTCATGCCTCCTCTCGGTGCTTCAAATGACCCGCAGAGAAACCAGCGCGTGAAGCCTGATCCGTGCAGGACACACAGCTGCTGTCTGCGCCTGTCCCGTGCGTAAAGATAAGTTTTCCAACCTTTTCGGCAACCCGGTCCGCATTGTTCAGCTTCCAGACGTGTCTCCCTGCTGCCTGTCCGGTGAGACTGCAGCGCTCAGTCTGTCCAGGTTGGTTTCAGGATGAGAGGGGCGTGTGGGACAGAAACACACCTCACTGAGTCAGATTAACGGGATCCCGTTATGGATGTGATTCAACTTCCTATTCAAAGTCTGAAAATCTAGAAAAGAGGAGCTACACTTTTTCTGGCATTTATTTGGTCAAATATACAGAATTTTTAAATTTCTGAGGACTTTTTTTTAACTTTCTGAATAAAACAAAATATTGAAAAACTGGATGTTTGAATAAAAAAAGTTAACATTTTATACATTATTATTACTTTAATTGATCCGCATTGCCCCAGTTAAATGAAACGTGCAGAAATATCATGATTTCATTGATTGTTTTGGGACATTAAATACTTTTAGTGTGGTCTCAACCAAAAACTGTCATTTATTATCCTTTTTCTGACAAATTATATTACTGGAATCATTTGGGAATGATTTCCCAATTGGATTGGAAATCCTTTCCACTTTATTAATAGTCATTTAAACATAAAAACAGTTACATTGTTCCAGTTTAACAATTTAAAATGATCCTGTACAATAAAAAACTTGCATAATTTCTAAGTTCAATAAATTGACAAAAGTCTGCAAACATTTTGCTGGAAATGCAAAACAAGTTACGAATAAACATTACAAAAAATTTGCAAAAATGTTGAAATTCCATCCATCCATCCATCTTCTGAAACGCTTTTTTTGGGGGGGGGGCTATCTCCAGCAGTCAACGGGTAATTATGTTGAAATTCCAGTAAGTCTATTAGTAAAACAGTTCTGGACATCCTTAGCATGCTCCAGATCCGTTAGTTTCGAAATCTAAAATTACCGTTTTATCTCAAGAGTGTTTACAAATGTAATCTGAATGATTTTAGCTGTTAGCAGATGTCAGTTTTTTTTGGTGCAATAAAAGTTTTTGGTTCTCTGAAATTCAATGCCCTTTAGTCTGATAAATACAAGCAGCGCTATCTAGTGGCGCTTTACTACACGTGCACCATTGCAAAAAATCAAATAATTATCACATTTATTTATTTGTTTGTTTGTTCATTTTATTCGTTTATTTTTACGTATTTACTTTTTAGTCTGTGATTGACGACAATACAAAACGACCCATTAAATAAACAAATTAAAAGTGTTTTCCATAAATTCTTGTCTCTTGCCTTTTTACAGCTAGAAAAATGCCTTTGTGGTAAGCAGATTTATCATATAAGAGTGCCACAGGATTTTCTACGCAGCTGTTAAAAAATGTCACTTTTCACATATCGGCAGAGCTATTTGGCACTTTAAAAATTCATCTAACTTCTTTTATCTTAATTCATCTAACTTCTTTTATCTTGAAACAGTTTTTTTAAACAACAAACAAGCTCTACTTCAGTTCATTAAATCCTCAAAGAATTAAATTAATTGCAATAATTTTATACATTTTGGGAGAAAGCGCAAGAAAAATGTTCAATGTAGTTAACGAAATGAACAGAAGGGGGCAGCAAAACGAAAAGAAGAAGAAGAAGAAGAAGAAGAAGAAGAAGAAGAACCTAGCTGCAGCCGCAGGAGGAGGAGGAAGAAGAAGAAGTCATATCCATGGAAACAACACAAGAAGTGGCGCGAGACTGAAATTTTTAACTGCTGGAGCCTCTGACACCGTCAGCTGCGGCTAATTTGGGCTTGTTCCACAGAAGTGACGCAGTTTCAGACATGCAGTGAATTTTTAGCCCAGACGCTCATCTCTACTTGGGTAGTTTACCAGGGGTGTTTAGTTTGGTTTGGTTACTGCGCCATTTGTTTTAGTTCTCGGTGTTTTAGCCTTGTTGTTGCCTGTTATCAGATGTCTTTAGCCAGAGGTAGCCGTCCTCAACCACAGGGCAAAGGAAAGAAGCCTGTACGTCAGAAGAAGGCTCCCAAAAAAGACTGGGTGGTGAGTATTTGGGTGTTGTGCCGATATGTGTTACCCCGTCGAAAACGGTTCTTCCACTCGCTTTCTGGGTGTTTCCTCTGTTACAAAAGTACAAACTTTGGCGTTGAAGGATGAGATTTTCTGTAATATGAGTAAGTTGTTTGTAATAAACGTGTTGGCTTATTTTCTGGCTGATAATGGTGATATTCAGCCACTCAGATATGTTGAAAACAAATCTAAAAGTAGACGCAAAGCAGTCAAGTTTCTAGGTGTTTTCATCAGTTTATGGTAAACAACTGTTTTTAAACTCTAACCTCTGGTCTTTTGCTGCTGCAGAGCACTGTCCATGACCTATCCGTGCACAAGCTGACGCCTGCTGAGCTGGTAAGGGTTTTTATCACATGTAACGTGTACAGATTTAAATGAGGAACAATAACAAAATCTTTTTTCTAGTTCATATATTTCCGATTTACCCCTCTTAGAGTCATCGACATGAGATTCACAAATCCCACAATAAAGCTGTGGCCCAGTGGGAGCTGAAGGAGCGAGCTCTGAAACGCCGTTTCAGACACGCTGGGAGCCCTGCTCCTTTGGACCAAGCCAGCCTCAGCATCATCAAAGAGGTGTGTGGAAATGGTTCTTCCATCTGTCTGTCTAACGTTGGCATTAGCATGACGGGGTGTTGCTGCAGGTGTTCTCCGATCAGCTGCTGCTGCAGGATGTGCTGGCCCGTTCTGACAGAGCCATGGCTGTGGTCAAGGACCTGTTTGGAGATGCTCCACAGAGGCAGACCGGTAATAAAGCCACATGTTTGGGTCCTCTACTGATTTTCTCCTTTAGTTACATAATGGTGTTTCTTCAGGGCATCCCAGTGTGACCGTTGCTCCCAACTGTGACTCTGACTTGGAACTACCTGTTCTCCAAAGACTAGATTCTCCTATGCAGCTGTCGCTTCTCAGCCAATCAATGATGGATCAAGAGGTGAGTGATTTACATATAACAACTTCAGCGTTTTGAGCTTTAAAGTTCTTTAAGTTTAATGTTTCCTTCTTTTCCAGGCTCTTAATGAAGTAGATGTTTCCAGGGAGGACTGGAGTTCAGGCAGTCGTGCCATCAGAAGGTACTTACTCCAAATACATCAAATTGTTGATGCCGCTATGGATATGTTCATCTTTGTTTTCTTAGATCCAACATACGACAAAAGATGACTCAGGGTAGAGTCGTGCCACAACGGAAAGTCCATCGTCTCAGAAATCCTGAAGATGATGATGATGTTGCTCCTATGACACCCTGCACGTCAGGAAGAGCCCCAGATCAGACAGGTTTTAAAAAAACACACATTTTGTCTAAATCAGCACATGTAAAGTTTCATTTAGACTTTTCTCTTTTGTGTTGTCAGCTCTAAATGCCACTGTGGCCGTCAGACGTGTTTGGTCCAAACACAGTCAGTCAGATGGAGGTGGAGAGGAAGCTTCTGCTCGTGTGTCTCAGGTCCTGAATCCTGATCCTACTTCACACCAGCCAGGTAAAACCGGTAATGGGTCGTGAAGTAAAATATTCTACATGAGAACATCAGAAGATGCGTCTTCTTTTGTTCCAGCAGGAATCGGGAGTTATGCCGACAGGACCAGGAAGTGTCTTTCTCAAAGCTCAAAGCTGGATGGCTCCTCTCCCGCCTCTCTTAGTGGAGACCAGTCCAGCCTGGGTCTGCTGCAGGCCATGTTGGGTCAGGTCGAGGCTGACCTGGATGCTCTGAGTCCTGATTTGGTACCAGAATCCGAAAGCAGTTCAAAACACCACAAAACCCAGGGCCTCACTGGATTTTCTGTCGCTTTGGTCGGCACTCTGGGGCGCCTCGTGCATCTGCTCAAACAGGTTGTGTAGAACATATGAACTCATGGACGTGACTTGCTATTTAAATACACTCCAAGTTTGGGCTGATTTACTCCTAGTGTTATGTTTTTGTTTCAAAGCTGAGATGGTTCACGTGTCACGTCAGCCAAACCCACGATCAGGAGGCTTCATCTTCAAATGCAGACACAATTATCGTGGAAGCCATAACAATTCTACAGTTTTAAGAGATTTTATTTCCTCATCCATACATTTATCAGTAATCTCGTGTCCTACATGTCAGAGGGAAGCTGAAGCTCAGAAGGAGGCAGAAGGAAGAAGAAGAGTGGAGGAGGAGCTGAAGGAGCAGCGGGGGCTGATCGATGCTCTCACAGCTGAAATCATGACTCTACGAGAGGAGGCCGCTGCCCTGCAGGTGGGTTTCTGGTCCAGGTCCTTTAATAGTCGACTTGTTTTGATTTCTACTTACTGCTGTGCTGCTCAGGCAGGGCTGCAGCAACGCACGGCTGAGCTGGAGCACAAACTGGACTCGGTGGTGTTGGTGATGGGAGGACTGGGGCTGCTGGGGGAACACACGCCACATAAAGACTCTGATGCCAGGGACGCTCTTTCAAACGGTATAAAACGGTCTGCATGAATGCTGCGTCATGTTTTAGTTAAATATCTAGTTTATTTTATTTACTGTTTTGCAGTTTGTCCGTCTGCTTCTGTTGCTGAGAGAGCTCCTGAGGAAACACGAGTTAAAGTTCCTCCTGCCATCGTGCTTTCTCCTCCTACACCGAGCCATAACTGGCAACACAGTCACGGTAGCTTTCCTTTTTTTATTTAATAACTCATCTATTAGTCTGATGCAGGAGGACTAAATTAGTGTTTTTCTGTTTCACAGCAACTCATCCTGCTCCTCTGCAGCAGCATCTTCCTCCTTTAGACTCCCAGCGTTCCCAGGAGGTTGTCCAGGCTCACGGTTCTGCCTCCAGCCTCCACAGCGTTGCACTCAGCCACCTTTCTTCCTCCTCCTCCTCTCCATCCCTCAGCCTGGCTCCTCTCATCACCCAGCCCTCTCCAGAAGCCATGCTGGCTGAGATCGCTCAGCTGAGCAGGCAGGCTGAGCTGATGCGGTCTCAGCTCAACCAGGCCAAGGGTCTTGGACCTGGGATCGCAGGACTTCCCAACAGCAACAGCAGCCAACAGGGAGGACGGAGTCCTGACAGCATTCCTCAGGACGTCGGGGAGAGGAGGGCGTCTGGGTCCAGCAGAAACCAGAACATCCAGTCTCTCGATGAGACGTCGAGTCAGCAGGTGAGATGCATGCTGGACCACGGGTTGCTTCAGAAGTCAGACGAGTAATAATAATGGAGGTCACAAAAATGGCCTCAATTCCACATAAATGGGTTCAAAATGGCTTTTAAATGTTATTTTGTAATGGAAATAAAATCTGCTTTTACAAAGCATTAATTTCTGTTCTCCAGTCCTCCACGTCTCACACCCCGAGTGTGGAACAGCGCCTCCTGGAGCTCAACAGGCAGAGCGCAGCAGCCCGGAGTCGACTGCTGGAGCTCATCGAGTTACAGAAGCAAAATGTTTCCGTTAGAGTGTCTCCCTCCGTCTCTCCTGTCCTCTCTTCTGTCTTCAGTCCAAACACAGCAGGTACGCTGGGGGAGAGGAGGATGCTTCTGTGTGAAAGATCACGTTATTTAAATAACTAGTTGTTGTTTCAATTTCAGCTGAAAGTGGAAGCTTAGAAGAGTCTGTGCTGCGGCCAGGGAGGGACGTCCAGACACAGCAGCGGTGCGTGGATCAGCTAAATGAGGATTTGACTTATTTTACTTTGTTTAATTTTTACTGCGCTGACCAGAGTTAAATCAGAGTGCATCATGGGAAAGCTCCACGGCTGAAACCTCAGCTCACTGGGCAATTTACTCAGACTGTTGGGCGTTTTTGTGGATCTGAAACATTCAAATGTGACAAAAAGAAAGATCACTTTGTAAATATTACATTTTCCGATGTTTAAATGATTATTTGTGTTGCAGCTCTGCAGGTTCTGATGAGTCTCCTCGCAGCTTTGAAACCAGGAATGAAAAGTCACAGGTAAACATAAACGTTAGACCTCTTTAGCGTTTGATCAAACTGTTACGCTTTCCATCTTAATTCCTTTTTGTTCCCCACCAAAGCCGCAGAAGCAGAGAGGACGAGAAGGCTGGTTCTCCTTGTCTGCTCACACCAGATGACAAGAGGAAAAATCAAACCAGCTCGAGGCTACAGAGTTATTTGTTTTATGTATTTAGTGTAAATGTTTATAATAAACAGTTTTTAAAACTCAAATCACCTGTTTTTGTTCATATCAAAGTAAATTTAGGGACTTTTCACTGAGGTTAACGAAAATTATTGTGTTGCAGTACAGAGGACAACCAGCAGGTGGCACTGCAGACTCAAAACCACAAGAAATGCTTAAACACTGAATCAACCATAATTATCTTTCTAAATTTAATGCAATAAATGTTTTTCTTATGAGAGCAGATGGTAACATTGTAAACTTTAACACATTTTGGAGAATTCAAGTCAAAATATAAATAAAAGCTTTTGTAATCTGAGCTCATACACATAACCTAAGATCAGGGGACATTACCACTTATTGATTCGCTTCTATTCAGGAGTCACAATAAGTGACAGAATAATGATTGCATCTGTTTTCTTAACTGTGAGGCTGAACGGTCTTCAGGGAAGTGTGTGTGTGGGCAGAAGTAGTTTTAGTTTCTGGTCGCGAAGTCAGACGGGTGGAGAACACAAAAGTGTCACAAGACGTTTATGAATGTGAAATGGTCAAAAAATGTCTATATTGTCTTATAGTAAATTATCAATTAATTGGTCTGCGGTTTCCTTTTTGTTTTATAATATAATTTACGAATATAATATTAAAAGTGAATAAAACTTTTCTTCCAGGTTTTATATCAGTGTGACCTATTTTATGACTCGAAGTGGAAATAAGTGGTCACACGCCAACTTGTGTCCAATCCGGATCTTGTTTGCGCACCGCTTTAAACTTTTAGAGTGACACTTGATTTTTTTTTTTCACTTTTTTCAAAGTGAGTCAGCAGATCTGTGCTGACGACGACAATGAGCAGCGGGGAAATCAAAAGGAGTAAATATTGCAGATAATAACAAGATAGAGGCCGTAAATGCGAGGTCGGAGGTCACGTTGGCCCCGCAGAGGGAGGTGAGCTGGCCTCATTGTGCTGCTGTGGAGTGAGTGACGGATGGAGTGAATGGGGATTAACCTCAGCCCAGTGCCCCTCAATGCCCCCTTTTCCTCCTCCACTGGGGGTGTGGCTCTGATGGGGGCAGCAGCATTGGCTTCGTGTGTTGCTGATGTGACTGATATCAGTAAGAGGAGTTATTTATGTTTATAAACACACACACACACACACTAAAGTTGGATCACACACCCAAGAGTTTCCTTTAACTGATCAACCAAAGTATTAAAAATCCACTCAGGACGGTGGTTAGATTTATTTGAAACTGAAGAATACTTATAGAAAAACATTAAACATTAATGTTTAATATTAATTGATGTTTTCAGTGAACTTTCTTAAAGGTGTGGAACACTAAAAAAAAAGTTTCAGTGCAACATAAACGCCTCTAGAGGGCAGTATGAATGCGTGGCTGTGGCTCATATTTTGTATTTTGAGCAAAATGAAAACCTTTTTAAAACGTTTTCTCTTTTTAATAATGCAATCAAAAATATGCACAACACGAACAAAACATTTGAGACATAAAAACACATCAACTCTGCTTGATGCATTTAATGTGAAAACACCAAAGCAGCTATAATGTGGGCATAAAATTTTATTTTGGTTTTTTATTTTTTGTGGTTTGTTGATTGCAGAATCTTATTTCAATTTCATTCTACATCAAAAATGGCCACTAATAACCCTAAATTCTGCACATGCATGTTGTTTGCATGTTTTGCATCTGCGCGGGGGTCCGTGTGAGCGTCCGCCACAGCTGTGCAAGGCTCTGATCTGCAGCAGGCTGTTGGCTGCTGTGAAAATATTATTGCAAGTGTTTATTATTGCTTCAGTGTGAAACAGTGGGAGTGTTGTGTGTGCGGCACGGGTTGGTGGAGTAATGGAGTGCTTGCGTGTGTGGAGGGAAGAGTGAGTGGGTGGGGTGGGCGGATGGGGAGAGGCTCCTCACCCTTCTCCTGTTCTCTGTTTCCCACCGGCCAGCCCTCGGCCTGGGGCCCGTTGCACCCTGGGTAATGGGTAGGCCTATTGGAGTTGATTAGTTCCGGCTGGATCACAGATAAAGTTCTGACAGGCAGGAGAAACGAGCTCCTGGTGTGACCCTCTGCGCGCGCGCACACACACACACACACACACACACACACACACACACACACCCTTGTCTCAGGCACAATGGGTAAAGGACTTTTTAAACAACTGCACTCTGCTGCATCCATGCAAATCCAAACCTGAGCCCTTAATGCAACACCACACACACGTTTTACACGCCTACGTCCAGCCTGAGCACTTTTCCCCAACATTTCCCTCCACAACAAAACACAAATCTTTTCTCATGAATATTAAACTCAGTGTTGCACAAATAATTCGCCGTATGCATTCTTTATCTTTATGTTTTCTTTGTCGAACCATCACGTCCACCGCGCAGGACACCTGTGGCACCAACTCACATTCCTCAGCAGCATTGCTCCCCTCTTCAGCTTTATCCTATTTTTTAATTTCCCACCCCCAACCCTCCTCCTCCCTGTCTCCACACATAATTGATTTCATAAATCAATTTGAGACGCACATCAGTCAGCAATGAATGGACACCACCCCCCCTCTGTGCAGCGGTATAATCTACCTCAGCATGCCCTGCCACTCTCACTTATGCACACTCACACACATCTGCATGGTTTTCCTCCTCCTGCAGTTTGAAGGTCACCAAATGTGAAATATGCAAAATCGTGAGATGCTGGGACCTGAAACGTGCAAATGCAGGAGTCTGAAAGAAGTAATGGGCTGCAGAAGAGAAGGGAAAAATAAAAATGTGTTTTCTATATTATATTTTATATTATGTCCCTAAAGAAACCAGCATGTCTCTAGGACAAACACAGTTTATAATTAAAGGCAGCTCAATTGCCATTATTATCAAAAGACTTAATCTTGTCTCCTCTTCCACTCGGAGCTGTTGTTTTGGATGTTTTGATACGAATGTAACCATGACACCGCCCTTTCTTATTAAAAAACCTTTCCAAGTTGCAATGCATTCTGGGAATGTGAGCCTGTAACAGCTGCAAGTGATAATCCTAACTTTCCCCCCATCTCCTCTAAGTCTTGATTTTCTGTTCCCATTTTTCCCTTCTAACAGTTTCCTTCACCCTGATGTTTTTTTTTATCTCCTTTGTTCTTCAGGTCCCCCGGCTTCTATTGGAGTCCAGTTGTTCCACCTTTCCTTCATCTCCTCCACCCTCGCCCCTCCATCCGTGCTGCAGGGTGTTGGCTTTAGTGGCAGTGAAAGCAGCTTTGCCTTTAACAACAGTTTGTCTTAATGAGAAGGGAGGAGGGGGGGAATGTAGGAGGGATGGGGCGGAGGGTCACAGCTGAAGCCAATTGCATCCCTTTCCTGTCTGAGGCGCTGCAGGCTGGGGTCAAGCTCAGGGTCACGCCAGCCCACCGCTCTCGTCGAGTCCCAGTTCTGGATCGGAATCTCTGCCAGCGTGTGTGTGTGTGAAAGTTAAGAGGGCAAGGAGGCACATCTGTTTCTGATCCCCTCAGAAAGCCTTGCGATCCGGACCTGGACGTGCTGGGGGTGCCTGTGCGGGGGAGGAGGAGAGGGCGGGCGAGTGGTCACACACACACAGTATGTGTCGAGTACAATGTGTTGTTATGTAGCGTGTGTTTTTTTTTACAGCCACCTCCTCCTGTTAAGACATCTGCAGAAACCCAAATCATGGCTGAACACAAGTTAGCACACAGCACTGGGTCTTCATTTCTGTGCAAACGTGATGTGCACGCTTATCGGCGTGAGACAAACGCCACCTCTACCGAAGGCATTCGAGTCACACACAGCTGGAGCTTCACGCATTCATTGAAGCACAACACAACAGAATAAGGGACGGATCATTTCCACGAATCACATCTGTGCTTGGATGTAACATTTGGTAGCTGTACAGAACCTTTAAGTAAGAAACTAGAATCAAATTAGATTCCATCATTCTTAACAGGGCACCCAATGGAAATAATGAAATGTAAGGGGGAATTTTGGGAAGACGACACTGAGAAGAGCTGACATTACTCTAGTGAACTTTGACAGATGCAACTTGGGGAACCCAGGCCTGGCAAGCCATCCTATATACGCAAATTAGGTATGGGACTCGATTTAAAAATATCTAATTAATCATAGGCTTTGTAATTAATTAATCTTGATTGATCGCATTTTAATCGTTCAAGGTAATTTGCGCCAAAGCCATTTTTGTAAATAAAAAATAATGTCAGTGAGGCATATATGACATACCCACACTTTAATAAGTATATTTCTGTAACCACAAGGTCTATTTGATTACTTTGGTCTAATTGTAAAGATAACTATTATGGGATTTGTTGGGATGTGTAAAAACTAGTATATGTGTTATTGATGAAGTGTAAATGGACATGGAACATGTAAATGTTTACTGAACTGAATACTAGGTGGCAGCAGATCACTGCTAACATATACATAGAGGTGTAGTGTAGAGTGCAGGGGAAGTTCTGCTGAAGGTTACAAGATGAATGCTGCATGTATGCTCGTGCCTCCTGCTTTAAAAAAGTTTATATAGATAAAGCTACTGCCTGCCTGTTTTTTACCAACTACAAAACATAACAGTAAAAATTTTGGGTTTTCATGTTTCTTTCTTTTCTTCATGAAGAATGTGTCATGACTAATGAGATTGAAGTTTTAGCTGTGTTTGGAGCATGTAAAAATGTTTACATAGTCTTGTAGCCCAGGCTCTGCTGTTTTTTAGAGGTGCAGATTGCTGATATTTATAGATATATTTAATGTATTGTGATGCTAAACTTTTTCGGCCCGGGGGTGCTAGTGCTCAAGTGATAATTTTTTAAAGCATTATTTTTTTTACTAATTAATTAATTGTAATTAATGCATTAACTGCTAATGTAAATATGTACTCTGCCCATGTCAGAGATCAGTCATGGGGTGAAATATATGATCGTCTTTCAAACTGTCTCTACACAAAATTGGACAGCGCAAGGCCCAATCAGAGCAGTGGACAACGTGACAAATTCATAGCGATGGAAATCTGACAATGGGGCAGTTCGCCATGC